AGATATCGACCTGGCTTGCAGTTTAGAAGCACATTTCCGATAGGATATGGCACTGCGCATGGAGCCAGCTTCGGACTGCGACTCCCACGCATCGTCTCCTTCCGCCATCGTCGACGCCCAGAACGACCTCCCGCCGTCGTCCTTCCCTGTCAACGAGCTCAGACTCTGCACGATCTCCATCGCGCTCAGCAGCCCCAGAGCGCGGCCACTCTCCTCCACCACAGGCAAATTCAAGAAGTGTCCGTCCCGCATCGTGTACAACGCATCCAACAGTGACATGTCCGGGGTCACGCTCCCAGGCTTGGGCGTCATCACCTCGCCCAGAATCGCCCCCCCCGGTGACAGCCCCTTCGCCACCACCCGCCCCAACACGTCCTTGAAGGTGACCAACCCGATCAGCTCACCGTTCTCACCCACCACCAGGCATGCCTTACGCGAGGCTGCCATCTCTCTCGACGCCTCAAGAACACTGGCCTCTTTCGAGAGAAGTGCTGTAGAAGAAGCTCCGCTGAGCATACTCCCCACACTCGGCAGCTTGCTCCCACCGTCCTCTCCATTCCCGCCGCTGGAAGAAAGCAATTGCATGAGCGTCGAGACAAGCGCCGTCTGGTGCTTTCCCCCGCCCCCACGTCCTGCTAACGCCATCGCCATCGCCGCTGCCTCCAGCTGCTTGTTCGTACCGTTGCCCAACTGTTTCTCCCGATGCTCCTCCATCTTCTCCAACCGAGTGATAGCATCGTTCAAGCACTTGGCGATGTCCAGGCATCCCACCACCGCGTCCCCAGAGTCCAGCACGGGAAGATGACGGAAGCTGCCCCGTACCATCAAGGTCAGCGCGTCCAAGCAATCATCCTCCAGCGTCACCGTCGTCGGGTTTGCAGTCATCACGTCTTCCGCCGTCGTCCCCTCCACCGACAGCTCCTTCGACACCACACGTCGGGTCACGTCTGTGTCCGTCAAGATGCCGCTCAAAGTCCCGTCCTTGCCTGTCAACAACACCGCTGCGGCGCGACGCTCCACCATCACTTGTGCAACGGCAGCCACACTGGTCGTCGCCGCCAGCACCAGCGGCTTGTCCGGCCGAAGCTTCGACACGGGGCGTATTTGCTGGGACCTCCCAGTCGACGTGGTTGGGGTCGTGAAACTCATCGATGAAAGTTTTCGGCCAGAGACAGACTTGCTCGGAGAGAACTTGGCAGGGGATATAGTGCTGGCAATGGAGCGCGCGGGCGATGACACCGCTGAGGAAGGAGCAGCACGCGCGGATGATAGGACCTCAACGGCTTCCTGCGGCATGGCGGCCCGCAATTCACGAATCTCTTCCTGGATTCCATCGACTTCCGATTGTAACGGTTCGCAAGCCACGAACTTTTTGGCAGCCAGCAGCTTCTGAATTTCCGTTTTTAGATCTGCCGAGCGACCCTCGAGTTGGCTCAAGGTTGGAAGAGCAGAAAGCTCGGCCTCCAATAGGTCAAGCTCTTTTTGGAGGCTTTCACACCGCGCGAACTCTTTGGCCGCCAGTTTCAAGGCCAACTCCTTCTTAAGAGTGCTGATGTCTACTTCCAGGGCCGAGCGGCTCTTTTTGCTTTTCTTTCCTTCAAGCGATTCCTGCTTGTCCACACTCAGAGAGGCCCCGGCCTCTACTGCCGCTCGCTTTTCCTGTTCTCTTATGGCTTGTAACGATTGACGAGCATCCTCAACTTGCTGCTGGAGTCGGTCACATTCTATATACTTGCGGTCCTGCGCCGCTTGTCTCACCGCCGCTTCCAGATGCTCGATTTCGTGCTCCTTCTCAGCGGAGGTAGGAAACAATTTCCGCATGCCCGACAAACGATTCACTTCCTCTTGCGCCTTTTGACATGCTGCAAAATTCTTTGCGGCCTCCAGATGCATCAGCTCTTCCTCCGCCGCCTTAACTGCCGCTTCGAGATCCCCACGGCCTCTGAAACCCGTGGCTTCCGCGGCGGAAGGTTCCTTCGCATTTAAAATATCGCGAAATTTGAGTTCCAGCACTTTAACCTGGAGTTGAACCTCGTCGCATGCTTTGAATTTTTTGCACTGGAAATGCTCGTCAATAGAGGTTTGAAGTGCAGCAATGTCATTCAGTACCTCTTGTCGCGTGGGCATGAGCCTTCGTAGCTCGATAAGGCTTTGCAGTTCTATTTGCAGTTTCGAGCAGGCCACAAAATTCTTCCGCAGGGACATATCCTCGATCGCACTCTCGACCTCGGCCACTTTTTCCTCCAGGCTCTTGCGAGTGTACGGCAAAGGCTCACGCGCCTCCCGAACAGATGTAAGCGCACATTCCACCATCTTCATCTTCTCAGCCACAGCCACACACTCGTCGAAAGCTTTACGTTCCTCCGCCGTCTTCGCATCTGCCTCCAGCTCAATGATGAGGCGCAGCAGCGCATCCTCTTCGAGCTTATTGTACGGATTTGTAATGCGTCGGTATTCTTGAACGCACAAAAAGCTCCGAACATGGGCCTGCAACTGGATGACCCCGCGTCGTCCAACCAGGTAGGCTCGGCGGGCGTTTCGCATGCGGCACATGGCCTGCGCGGCTGACAATCTTCTGACAAATGCGAGAAAGCGCCGACGAGTCTGATACTTCCGGATGGTAGCCTGGAGTCTGACAGCAGCGCGGTGCCGGCGCAGTCTAGTCCACGCTCTTTGAATGGTGTGAGCGCCGAACTTGACACGCAGCTCCAGGAGGCGCGCGAGCTTTTCCGCCATGGACTTGCGCATGAAGACCTTGCTCACCCCCATCTGCCATTCCCGCGCGTCCACGTTCAGCATCCGGGAAAGCTTCTCCACCAAGTCAGGGAGACTTGCACACCCGGGAACTAGGCGAGCGAATTGTTTGTACATGACCGAATGAGGCTCGCGCAATGCGTAGCCTTGTTGACGGATGCGAATCGCCTCCATCATCCCTGCATACCTCAGCTGCCTCAGGATTTCCTTGGAGTCAAAATGCCCCGACAGCTTCTCGTGATTGGGTTTGACGCAGCGCACGTATCGCGGGGTGGTCATGTCCAGTGTTTCTACCAAGGTCGCCAGCGAGCTTCGGAATTGGGACGACAAAGAGGCCTCCCGCAATCGGGAACCCCCTCCTTTCCCCCCTCGTCCCGCGCTCCCCGGTCCAGCGCCAGCGCCTCCCTTTTTCCTGTGCGACCGCTCTTCAAAGAGTTTTACGTCCAACAGAATGTCGTCACGAATGAGCGGATCGGTGCTGGATAATGCCAAGGCCCGCACATTCTGGTGCAGGTTCTCCACATTCCGCTCCACAAAGCCGTCGACCTCGTACAAGACGAGGCCGGCGTAGTGCTTGACCCCGAAGCACACGTCGGAGTGCAAGCGAGGCCGCACGTACGCTTCGCTTTTTCCTGCGAACGTTGTGTGCAACGCCGATAGGAAGCGGGCGTCCGCTTTGCGTGGGCCCCCGCCCACACTCTTGACGTCGTCCAAAATGTTGAACAAGCAGGAAGCCCCCGTTTTTCCTCCTGTGGCAGCCACGGCCCCTCCTGCAGCCTCCCCTTCCGGAGCCCCGGCTTCCCGGTAATACCGAGAGTCGAGCAGTGCCAAGCACGGTTGGTTGTCGTTGAAAGAGACGTAGCTCCAATCGATCCCTTCCCGCTCGTAGTCCTCCTGCTCCATCTCGAAGATGTGCCGATTGAACTGGTTTTGAAGCGTCTCGTTGGCAAAGTTGATGAGAAGCTGCTCGAACGAGTTGTGCTCGAAGGCCTCGAAGCCGTAGATATCCAGCACGCCCCTGAATATCAAATGTGGTGGCAACAAAGAAGATGTTAAGAGGTGCAACACTCCTTAATATTGTACCTGTACGCACGCAAGGGTCCGACCAGTACATTCACCCGCCGGTGTGCTTTCTGTCTCTCCGAAGACCCCTTGCCTGTCTTCCTCTGCCATCCCCTCCCCGCCGAAAATATCCTAGCCACGTACATGAATCCCCAACATTTATCCGCCGCGATTGTCATATTCAGGCGGCGGACTAGCCAATTGAAGACACAGGAATAGACCGTTTTTGCCAGCGTGTCGCGCTTGTCTGCGGCCTCTGCCGCGTCGTTGGGTTTGACCACCGTCTCGTCTTTCCGGGTGGTGATCTGCTTCGAGCAGAAGGTTTTTTGCATCTCCCCCACGTCCAGGTTCAAGAAGCGGGCGGCCAGCTCCAGGTGTCTCTGAGTCGACGGCTCCGGCACCGAGCCGCCCTCGCCTGCGTCCTGGAAGCTGACGTTGCCCAGATGCAAGACCGCAGCCACCAATTCCAGCATGGTTCGCTGGAGGCGAGCGTCCAATCCAATGGCGGTCATGCATTCCATCGTCACCTTGAAATCGTCCGCGTCAGATTTCCCCGCAATGTCCGTGCAGTGCCCGTGCGTGAGATATCGGAAGGCTCCAGTTCCGTCCTTTTCGTCTAAGCACAAATCCGCCAAGAGGTCCTTGTCGCCCCCTCGGATAATTTGGTAGAAAATGTGGAAATTCCTCTCTCCCTCCGCCTGTCGCACGATTCGTGTTTTTTCCAACAGGTAGTTGGTGATCTCCGCCCCGACAATCCTCCCCGTTGCACCGAACTGTATCTTGACGTATTTCCCAAAGCGGGAGGAGTTGTCGTTCATGAGGGTCTTGGCGTTGCCGAAGCTCTCCAGGAAGGGGTTGGTGGATAAGACCTTCTTCTCTAGCTCCCCGACCTCCAAATGCGGCGCGGCCGCGGCCGTGGTCCCCGAAGCTGCCGCTCCCAGGATCGCCGCACTCGCACCGGTCAGAGAATCACTCTTGGAGTCCGGGGTGGCGGCGACCCGGTAATGCGTGATGCGGGCCAAGTACTGCATGATAATCTTCATCGCCTCCGTTTTTCCCGCCCCGCTCTCCCCGCTGATGATAATCGATTGGTTCGCCGGCAGCTTGGATCCGTCGTTGATGAAGGCCACGTAGGAGGCGTCCGCGACCTTGAAGAGGTGGGGGGCCAGGTGCTCCTTGGCTTGCGTGTGGTGGTGAATCATCGCCGATTCCGAGTAGAGAGCATGATTCCACTTGTAGGGGTTGATGGAGATGAGGATGGGCCCCACGAAAGTGTACACCTCGTCGCGCGCGTACCGGGATCGGAGGCTCTCGAGGAGGGACATCTCTGTGGGGGCAGGGGCCCGAGAAGAAGGAGGGAAAAGCGGGATTAATGAGAAAGGAGCTAATCTCTGACCGACCTTTACGAAAATACAAGAAGGTGTGCTCTAGGACTCTTGTGGCAGCAGCCTCCAGCCCCCGTCTGCTCACCTGAGAAATCATTCAAGTCCAGTATATCTGGAACTCCCTCCTTCGCTTCCGCCTTGACTGTCAAAAGACCCTCGGACGTGAGGCGGTGCACTTGATCAAATTCATCCCGAACAAGCACAATTTTCTCGCTGGCAAGCTCTTGCACGACTTTGACCGGCTTGTAGAGCATCTCCGCCTGCTTTGTCTCGTCGACCGTGCTGGCAAGGACTTTCCCATCCTTTCCTATCAGCTTGCTGGGGTCGAAGTAGACTTCGCGGGTGATTCGCCCAGTAAGAACGTCCATATTACCCCCATCTGGATTCACCATGCCCGACTGTAACGCGATCGGAGAAGGAGGAAGGAAAGGAGGAGAGTGAATACTACCGCTTTGCGTCACGTAGATATCAAAGCGCCAACTCATGGCAAGGTCTGACAACGACTTCGCCTGCTTGCCGCCAAAAAGATTCACTGAACAACAGTATCATATGATTTTATCTTAGTTACAGTCCAAAAAATGCGAGGACGGTTTTGGCGGCATCAGAAGCTCCCTTTGCTGGTTGCTGCTCGATGGACACGCCATCCCAGCTCATTATCACGCCACATGGCACGAGGTTTGACCTATAAATGGACCTACCTCGCGTGTGCCTTGGTCTGAATGACCAATTCAAGTAGTGAGCTGCTGCCAATATCTGGCACGCAGGATTTTTTATCCTCGCCCGCGTGCTGCGCGCTACAATCGCTTGGATCAATTCGCTCTCCTGTATGACGTAAAATGGACGAGTTCCAATATTCTGAGTTTAAAAGGCCTTGCATGAGCCCGACACCGACTCGGAAAGGTCACGTCATGTCTTCCATATGGACGTAGTTGGAACCCCGTGGCAGCGGGAAAGTGGTTGTTGAGAGTGCAAGCCTGACACCAATGTGGAAATTCCAAGTGGCCCTCTTGGAAACCGAGACGGCTTGGCGCGTAGAAAAAAAGGCACGTTGCAGCCGTACATGTCTACCACCACATCCTCAATCGCCATGATTGTCAATCTTATAATAAAAGATCGTATACGATGAGCTCATTCGTGGTACCCGTGTTCCTGTTCAGGACAAGATAGGCTTGAAGGCACCTCAAGCAAGCACTCCTAGGCCGTGCGCCTTGTAAGCTTCGTGTCTTCCTATTAATCAATTTTTCTTGACAGAATTGGCGCCCGCTCCAAAATATTGCTATCATTGCGTGCAAAACACCTTATTTTTTGAATTATGTACATCCTGAATTGTGAAGTGGTTGCTGCTTTGCGTGTATTCGCAGTAGAAAGACTTCTATCATCATCTTGTACACGTCCCCTTTCTTACGCTCCGCTCGCCTCTTCGAAGACAAAGCACTTTTGACGACAAAACCACCCTTCTCTTGTCCAGCCCTATCAGAAACATTCGTACGAGGCGGCTCTCTCCGCATCCGGAGCCTAGGGTGACAAAGCGTCGCGAGTGCAAGTTGGCACTTGTTTATGACTGATTGTCGCACGTCCACCTCGAACCGGTTACCCTGTGAAGCTTTTTTAGACCATGGTGGCCCCTGTCCTTGTCGCCTACGAATTTATCGGGCCCGCGGATGCCCCTGAGACGGGTTTCTCGTCCTCGTTCGAGCTCTTTGCTTCGGATTCCCCAACTGACGTGCTTACAGTGCTCGCCCTGCGCGAGGCCTTCCCCTACGTGGGTGACTTCCATTTTCGAGCAAAGATTCCTTTCCAAGAGACGCAGTACGCCTGGCTGGATCTGACGGAGGAGGATACACCCTTGCCTCTCTTGACTGAAGAGAGCGATCAGCCAGTCGTGGCGATCCGGGTCCTTCCCCTGGCCTTCGAGGACGAGGACGAGGACCGGCAGGGGAAGAATGGAGGAGAGCTGGATTTCAGTGGGCCAGATTTGGATCAAGATATTGTGGAAAGTTGTGTCGTCGGGGAAGGCGGCGGCAGCCGTGGAGGGGGCGGAGACGCTCTGGGAGTGGGAGGGGGGCGCGACGCCTCGTTCTCCTCTCCAGGGGGGAGTTATGGCAACTGGGCCCATCAGCTGAAGGGCGTAGGCGAGTCGGTGATAACCTCGGACGTGGCCCGGGACCTGACCAAGAAGGGGCTGAAGGTGGGAAAGCAGGTGGGAAAGCAGGTGAACAAGCTCTGGCGACTGGTGGGCGAGGGCCTCGGGGGTGGTGAGAGGGGGGAAGGAGGGGCGGGGGACAGAAGGGAGGAGCGCTCGTTGGTGCCTGAAGGCCCGAGCCCGTCGAGCGTCCGCTATTTGCGCAGGTGGGAAGATGCGTTGGTCACGCCCCCCGACGCAGAGACCCTGCTCGCACTCTGGAAGGCGCTTTTCCCGGGGGCGGCCTCGCGAGATGAGGGGGCCCGAGCACGGTCCCGGCAGTGGCGGAGAGCGGGATGCGAGGAAGAGGACCCCTTGCGAGAGTTCAGAGGGACGGGAAGTATGTGTGTACGGTGCCTGACATATTTCGCACGGACGTACCCGGAGAAGACGCAGGACATCCTAGAACGGTACGAGGCTGGAAAAAAGGAGGGGTGTGGAAATCAGGAGATGTATCCATTAATTGGCGTCTCGAACAGCCTAGTTTTGATTATGGTAGACATCTTTAAGCTGCGGGACGCTCGTTACGTACACGTGCAGTCGACGATGTGGAACCTTTTCGAAGGGGGGGGGTATGGCACCATGGAGGAGGTCTTTTCTGCGGCCCTGGCATACCTGGATCGCAGGTGGATGGAAACGGAGGCGTCTATCGAAGGTTTCTCGACTTTAGCCCGTGAGACAAGGCGGGCGCTGGAGGGGGTTTTGGGGCAGGGACCGTTGAATC